TATATATATATCTATATATCTATATATCTATATCTACACAGATAGTTTATGATTTTTTTCACAATCAATCACTATAAAAAGTGTGAAGTTGTAGCTCTATTTCATTACTTTTGAAAAAAGGAATAGTATTAGAGATACTAAGATGGCCATGTCATATGGTGCTGTGATGACACGATCAGTGTGGTCTTGTAATCTTGAAGCTGAGTTTGAATTAATTCGTAGAGCGATCAAATTCTTTCCTTTCATCTCTATGGACACAGAGTTTCCTGGTGTCATCTTTCAGTTGGATCCAGCCTTTCGACAACCAAAAAATAACTACGCGATGATGAAAGCCAACGTGGACCGTATGCATCTCATCCAAGTTGGGTTGACCCTTTCAGATCGTCATGGCAACCTTCCAACCTTCGGAACCTCGAACCGCTTCATTTGGGAATTCAACTTTTGTGAGTTTGATGTCACACGCCATCTTCATGCTCCACAATCCATTGCCCTTCTCCAAAGCCAAGGCATGGATTTTCATAAGAATCGAAGTTTTGGAGCCAACATCATGCGATTCGTTGAGCTCTTGATGTTCTCAGGACTCCTTTGCAACAATCACATTCATTGGATTACTTTTCATGGTGCTTATGATTTTGCCTACATGATAAAAGTATTGAGCCACCGTTTTCTACACATGCAACCACTTCTACCTCCCAACTTGGGTGACTTTCTACATCTCGTTAAATTCTTCTTTGGACAAGAAGTATATGATGTTAAATATCTCATAAAATTTTGTCCCAACCTTTATGGTGGTTTAGACAGAGTCAGTAAGTCCCTAGGTTTGGATAATAGTGCCAGAAAAAGTCATCATGCAGGTTCCGATAGTTTGGTCACTCTACATGTTTTTAAAGAGATTAAAAGACTTTATTTTCATACTGATGATGACTTGAAAAAATATGTAGGTGTTGTTTATGGTTTAGAGATGTTTTGATATTAATGTTTTGGAATGTTTGTACAACTCTTACATTCATTGTTCTCAAGTTAAAAAATGTATAAATTTGAGTTGGTTACAACAAATAACATCTCATTTGTGTATTCTTTTATCTAGCCTTATATTTATTATTTAATGATAATTTATTTATAATTATATAAAAGGAATTTATCTCGTATATTTCTTAATTTAAGTTTTTAACAAGTAGTTCTTACGAATTTTATTTTTTAAATGATTATCTATTTAAATTTAGGTGTTTTTTTACTTGTTCACTTTTTAAAAAAAAATTAATAGTTTTTAAATTCAAATAACTATTTATAATAATAAAATTATCTACAAAATAAATAAATATTATTTATGATATAAAAGACATTTATATTTTTTTTATAAATATAATTTTATTATTTTGTATTGTTATTGTTAATAAGAATAATATATATATATATATATATATATATATATATATATATATATTATCTATAACTATATATAAAGATGATTTTATAATTTTGTGTACATGTGAGAACTTGAAAATTTGATTTTTATGAGTAAATTTCAATATATTAGACTAATGGAGCCAAATTTTTATTTCAGTATAAAAATATATTTTGGACAAACTTGGTTCATTAGCCTACTTCCATTATCTCTCTAAAAACTCAGAACTCCAAGTTCCTCTGCCTTCTCTCTAACCTGCACACTCACTGACTCAGTGCATGTCCGTTTAGGTGGTGCCCAAGCGTCCATAGCGGAGAGGGCTTTATTTTGAACCGATTATTTCTTTCATTCGGACCAGTAAGTAGTTCTCCCTTTTTCCTCCTCTGTTTTGGAACCTAGGGCATGTTATTCTACTGATTTCATGCAACTAGAAACCTTCTCCTTCAATTTCTTGTCAAAACTTAGCTCTAAAGAGCTGTTCTATCACCAATTGGGTGGTTTGTAGGGTTTGGTTGAGTTCTTGTTGAGTCAGGCACTGTTGAATCAAATTGTGAGCTTAGATGTGAAACCCTAAGGTAAGGAGAGCTAGAATACTTTCTTATAAGTTGTTATATGTTAGGTATATGGACTGATTTATGCATCATTGTGCTCTTTGGGTTGCGTTTTTAAGTTTTGAGAGTATGAATGATATATGCTGAAATGTTCATCTGTGAACCGTGAACTAATGCTTGCGAACTAATTTAAACGTGTTGTGTGACTGCAACTGAGGAGGTTAGATGAGTAAAATCTGAGGTAGCAGCTGTATGTTGAAAGTTAAGAGGATTGATAGTGTTTTGGATTACTTTGAGAGGAAGTGAGGTAGTGACTTTGAGCACTAGAGGTTGTGTGTGAGTTTGGGCTGTTTGGGTAGCTCAGATAGGTCAATTTTGACTTGTTAGGAACCTCAAAATGGTCTAAAACGAGTTACAAGTAATGAAATTGGATTTGGGTCTCTAAGTTGTTGATTTTGTTTTTCTAGAGTAGGGATTGAGTCTTAATCACTTTAGAATTGTAGTAGGAATGTTTATAATCATCTATATGAGTTTAATTAAGTATAAAACACGAATTAGGAGTGTTAGAAGTTGGGGAAAATAACTAGAAATGGTAAAGGGGTGTGTGAGTTGCATAATTTTGCAGAATTTGCGTTCTGCAGATTATGCAGACTCGCTATGCGAGCTATCTGGCATTGCGAGACCCTGTAGAGGGTGCTCACTGTCTAGGTCATTCGCTGTGCGAATGACCAAAGGGTGCTGCTCTCTATTTGTGGATTCGCTTGGCGAATCCTGTCGCTATGCGACTGGTGGTGGTCTGGAACCACTGCCCTTTTAATTTGAAGGGCAACATGGGCGCAAAGCGAGAGGGTTTGGGGGTGTGGTATCTGTTTAGGCTCTCGCATAACGACCTAGGTGCGCTATGCGAGAGGTTTAAAGTCTGGTGCAGGCTGTGAGTTAATTCGTTATGCGAATTAAGGGGTGCGTTGTGCGAGATCCTCTTGTCTCACCTTGCGAATAGGGTGCGCTGTGCGAATCCTCTGAGTTCAGAGTTCTCTTTTGCTCTCTTTTTGGTTGAATTAAGTGTGTGGAATGTTTGGAATGCATAGTATGATGTTGGTAATGTGCTTATATTGAAAGTATGCGAGTATGTGAAACATGTTTGGTGATTGAAAGTATGTGGTTTTAAAAGTATGGTTGATGAACGTAATTCCATGGATCTCAAAGGAGGTTACATGGTGATGCCTTATGTTATTGGGCGTAATTCCATGAATCTCAAAGGGAGATTACATGGTGGTGCCCTATATTATTGGACGTAATTCCATGATCTTCAAGGAGAAGATTCATGGTGGTGCCCTTAGTGTTTAGAATGATTTGCATGGTAGCTCAGTCTTGGGGGTTATCCTGGAACTACAATGGTCAATCATTCTCAAGTAGAGAGGATTGAATCATGTCGTGAGTAGTAGCAGGAGGTCCTAGTCTTGGGTGCTTCCAGTATGGCCCAAGGTGAGTGATAACGGACTAACCTCGTGAGTGTGGTAGGGTGAAACCCATTGGCAATGGCTTTGCAAAGCAGTAGAGGCCACCACGAGTACATGACCCGCCATAGCTCGACAATCATTCTAAGTCCGGACGAGTCAAGTTTAAGTGCAACAAGTCACGTTTGTGTAATGTAGTTTATCTGTCTTTACTTGCGTGTTGCTTGTGACTACTATAACATGATTTTTGTATATCTAGCTCATCCTTGCTTCTGTGTTTGTGTTTTGCTTGGGTATGCTTTTCTTTTGCAATGATCATCCACTTGGATGTGAGCAGAGGCGGATGAGGTGACTCTGGAGCAAACTTTGGAGGAAGATGATGATGATGCTTAGTCTAATTAGGACTCTAAGTGGTTCATTATCTTTTGAAATACTCTATTATATTTAAGTTTTAAATTATGACTCAATTTGGGATGATTGTAAGCTTAACAACTTTATTTACAGTCTACTTTAACTGTTCTCTTATATTAAAATGTGGACTTACTATATTATATATAATCTAGGATATTACAGTACACAATTCATATATTTATTTTATCCCTCATAATATAAGATTTTTAACTTACTTTTTTTAAATTAATCAATATTTTGAATTTTTTTTAATAAAGTTAATAATGAAAGAAAATGGTAAACAATTTTAATAATTTAGTATATTTAATATCTTATTTGTATATTTATTAGTATATTTGTATGTAACTTTTATTTTTAATAATTTAGTGTATTTAACTTATAAAATTTAAAGTAATTAGTATAACTTATATTGTTTTGTGAAGTTAAATACATGATAGAACGAAAATAAAAAAAAATACGAAAACTAAAATTATTTATAATAATTTATTAAATAAATTAATTATGTTAAATCAAATAGATTTGTATAATATATTTTTTTCACTTTAAATATAAAATAAGTAGAACGATTATATAATAAAAAAATACATATCAAAAGTCAAATATATTAAGAATCCTAAATTTCGTTTAATAAACTTAGAAGTGTACTAGAATATTATATTTTTTAAAACGATATTAAAATATTATAATAATGTTTAGTGATCATGGAATTATTCTAAAGTGATGTATCAATTAAAAGGGTGAGATAAAGAAAAGTGTAAAAAGAAAATTAAAATATAAATATGTGTGGATAAATTTCTCGCAAATATTTAAATAATTAAATAAGTTTTTTAAATTAAAGTTAACTTTTTATAATTAAAACTGGATTGGTATAAATTACTATAGTTGTAATTAGTTTAATTTATAGAAAGATTTATTATTCTCTTTGTTTTTTCTTCTCTTACGAGTGTTTATATATCTTTTTTCTACAATGAACGTTTTTTTTTCTGAGTTAAATAAAAATTTAGTTAAGTTAAACAACAAGATAATAAAAAATTCATGGAAGACACCTTATCGAACGCCATCTGGTCAAAATCCTCGTGACCGAGGCACTCAACGAAGTCACGGGCGTTAAGGTGGCGGGTTAGGGCATTAATGATCTTAACGGCTTCCAACTCTTCTGGGTCATGCGACCACCCGACCAAGTTTTTATTTTCAGAGGGTTCCTTGTCCAATAAAAAGGGAACAGAGGGAGACCTGCCTCGTCATGGAATTCAGACCGACCGACCTCTTTTATTATCACTTTAAAATATCAAGCCTTGAAATTTATAAACGACTCACTGTACGACTTAAGTAGAGTTCGGCTAGGAATGGAAGAAAGCGACACTCATCCTCGTTTTGCCAATGACCGGACATTGAAATAATGAAGGAAAACCGGCATAGACGAAGTAATTCCCATCGCGGCACAGATCGTTACGAAGGCTTGAATGGCCGCCCAGCCATTGGGGTGAAGCTGAGTGGGGGCAACGTTCAACTCACGGAGAACGACCGCCTGAAAAGTTGTGAACAATATTCGAAGGAACAGTTGGTTGAACATATAGGTGTACATAAAGAAGAAATCTTCTTCACTAGCCCATCTGTACCCTTTGATGCGTGACCAGCCCTCAAGCGGCTCAACGACTTCTTGATCTATGCGAACGCCACCCTTCAATATTAAGAGAGACATTCCATTTAGGTTTAAACCCTTTAGTTGTCCCTATTTATGTGAGTTTTTCCCAGTTTGATCCCCGACTTATTAGAACCTCCAATTAAATCCTTAAAAATGCTAATTTGAATCAATTGAGCCCTTACTGTTAAATTTACTTAACGGAGTTAAATTTTTGCATAGGTGGAAGGTGATGTGTCAATTTTTGAACACGTGGCTCTCTGATTTCTCTACCTCCTCCCTCACGCCCTTCCCCATCCCTGCATCGGCGTCACTTACTCCGCTCACAGCGCCTCCCCCAACCATCACTCCCAGGAGGTGGGGCACATCTCCAATGGCCTCCGGCAACTGAAGGCGAGATCCCTCAATTTACCAAAATGCTACACAAATCACCCAGTGACCTTTTCAAGTCCTATGCGAGTTATTTCATTAATTGGGAAAAGTTGTAACTTTATTTTTGAGGAA